AGATTTCGTGGCAGGCACAGCACTTGGTGAACCTCGAAGTGCAGATTTCGTGGCAGGCGCAGCACTTGGTGAACCTCGAAGTGCAAATTTTGTGGCAGGCGCGGCACTTTGTGAACCTCGATGTGCAGATTTCGTAGCAAGCACACCCACTCTCACTCTCACTTTCACTCTCACTCTCACTCTCACACTCACTCACTCTCCGACTCTCACTCACACTCACACTCACTCACTCACCACCATAGCCACCGTCACCACGATCCCCACCTTCATCACCACCATCACCTCTCTGGACCCCAATGCGTCTAGATCTCTAGACATTCTGCTAATAGACCTCACACACACTGTTTGGGGTCTCTTGCCGGGATAATTTGTTTAAAGATGTCTCTGAACTATTCATTCTAATTCACGAGAACAATCGAACAATATCCCCTGCAAACAAACCACCTGTCGCCTGTCAAGATGTCCATCTGCAGCGACTGGTCAAACCTATTCAAACCAGATGTCAACCTTAAATCAGAAAACCCATCTTGGACCTGTTGATTAGGCAGGTCCTTAATTTGCTGGAACCCGGGTGGTATCCTTCAGATTCCGCTCCTCACACAGTGCTCGGGCTCCAGCCACGACCAAGCCCGGCGGCGCTTCAGCGGCTGCACGCTCCAACAAGCGGCGCTTCACACCGCCTGTTCAGAGGTGTTCTGCGAAGAAGTGCCGAAACCTCTCGAGGAGGAAGAGGGGCGCGAAGGAAATGACCATAAAGTCTCACAACAAATGGCTCAAAGAATCAAAAGGTAAAGGGATAATCATTGAATTCTACAGGGAAACAACTGGAGACTTGAGTGACCAGAAACAACTGGAGAAAATCTGCCAACAAATAGACTCCTTGTCCATTAAACCTCTGGGGCATCTAAGGGGGTTCTATGAGCTGCTTGCTTTTCACTTCGGCAGTGCGGCAACGTACCTGCAAGTTTCAGGAAGATCTTCTGGGCGCCAAACTTCTCCATTTCCCTCAACCTTGGAATAATTCATGGAGGATGCGTTCTCTGAATGCGCTTTCGGCTGAACCCAGCTGCTGCTCTGCTGCTTGAGACAACTTCTGCCTGGCCAAGAAACCAAGCAAGGCGCGAGGCTGATTTGATCCGAGAACACGTCTTCCGGTCTGGAGAAAGAGGATTGAGCAGAAAGCTTCTTGATGCGTGAAACGGGGCCCCCGCGCAAGTGGCTCCCAATGAGAGAGGTACTGCAAAGTACTCATAGGAGCACATGGGAGCTATGAAAAAACATCTTCAGTCACCTCAGCATTGTGTCGCTTCTTCATTCCGCCGGCCCTTTTCCCTTCTCCCTTCTCTGGCCGACTGAGGACCCCCGGCACATCCTGGGCGGCCCAAGGAAAGGCATTGGCCGCCAGGTGCCGTAAGAGCTCAAACTCCTTGCGCCTCACAGCTGATCGGAGGTTGGTCAGCAGAGAAGCGTCGATCAGATGGTCAACTGAGCTGATCGGGGTGATTTGGCGGGATGGCAAAATTAGGAACTTGGACATGTGTCTCGAGAATTACAAGGAGCAAGGTCGCCCCCATCATTCATCCCAATCTCGGTGGCCCGTCCCCTCAGTTGCAGAGTGCCTGTCCGCAATCTTGTCCGGTGGACCCTCACGCAGTGCCGCCGCCAAGCTCTCCAGGGGCCGCGACAACTGGCCGCACCCGACCAGAATTGGTAGGACATCTTGACGACCGTATGGGATAACAACAATATAACAACTCAGACAAGGAACATTTAGAAGAATGTCAGTAAGTCGATGTGCTCATCTTTGTCGATGTGGTCGAGTTGTTCATGGATCAATCACCTGTTTGACCTTTCTGAAAGGGTCTTGGCCATCAGGTCTTCCAACCAAGGAATTAGTTCAGTGAGTATCCGTACGGTCCGTACGAGAACGGGTTTTCCATGGGTTTTCCGCACAGTGCCAAGCTACATCGATCTAACTGTCCGTTCCCACAAATTTGGGTCGTATAGCTTTTGGCAGAGAATCTTCCAAGGCACATCTCTGTTTCGACAGACTTCCCTGAAAATGAACAACTGACTTAGGGAGTGGAGCAGGAGCTCAGCACACAGCAACAAACATCATCAAACATCAATCGACTTGACAAACGGTTTACATAATGACTTTCAATGCACTACCTCCTGCGTCATGTCTTTTTCACTTGATTGGCCGGTGCGAAGACCGCTCTAACCGCCTCTCCCACCTGGAGTCCGTCCGGATGCGTCCGACCGCCCGTACCGGAGTCACGTGAGGGCCGTGCCGAGTCTGGGCCGCACCAGTGGAGACCCAGTGGAACGCTACCCACGGAGCAAAGAGCATCTACAAACGGAGCGGTCGGACGGAACGAACGTAGCTCCTGGGCCTTAGCAACAAGAACGCTAGCCCCTCGCCCCGAGTCATCTCGGTATTTCCATGTATTTCCTATGTCCGAACCGCAGGGGGTCGAAAGGCCTGGTGTCGGTCTCCCTGTTTGAGCTCGGGAGACCCCATCCTGCTTGCCACCCTTTTCTGCAATGTCTGGCTGCTCGTCCGCACCAATCAATCTCTCGAGACGAGTCGAGTGTCTTGTCAATGTGCCAAGGGAGTGAAGTGAACTGGCTGCCCGAGCCCAAGGGATCTCCTGGAAGTTCTAGAAGCCATGAATCAAACAAAGTATAGTGGACCATATAGCATGGATCAGCCCAGCAAAAGCAGGGCTGAAAATCTCGAATCAAACAAAAAGGCCGGGGTCAGTTGGCTGACCCTAAGACCTCAATCTGCCAGACATCAGGCAAGTAGGGTGGAAAGCAAAGTAGCACTTTAATGCAATGTCACAGACTTTCAAACCGTACTTTCAAGATGAAGATGCAGGGGTCAATCGGGGGACAAACCATCCAAGACCTCCCTGAACGACACTTGCTAGAGCCTCCAGCGAAACGGCAACGGCAGCGGGCTCCGCTCTTTCCGGCATTTGCCGTCGCATGTTGCTCGAGGGAAAAGCCGCGATTCAAGGTGATTCTGAGATCACCAATCATTTTTAGGATGTGACGACAGCATGCCCATGGGTGTCCCAAATCTTCCCAACAGAAAGTGTACCGAACCAGCCTATGGTAGGCCTATGGAAGCCTCAATCCCACCACTGTCCCACAATCCAGCAAGACTGTCTTGCTCACGCCACCGGTGGTTCATGGAACTCGAGAAGTTCACAATGCCTTTTGTTTCGATGTTCATCACCCGAACAAGGCTTCAATATGAACAAGGCAGCCTAAGTGGGTTCATTCGCAGGGAGAAGAATAGACATGGACTCTTATACAAGCTTGTTCAATATGGATCATTCATGAATTCATGATGATTCTAACTGGATTTGGTTCCACCTCCCCATGATCGTTCCACCGACTTTCCGCAGGATTGTCTTCCGACTTGGGCATCCGCAGCTTCCTCCCTGAGCGACTTCCGTTAACACAGGTCTTGTGCTGAGGTTGAGGACTCTTCTGTGGCTTCAACTGGTTCAACTGCCCTCTACGTCGTGCGAATAACATAGGTCGTTGGTAGCTCTTTCCACATGCGGCGGCCCGGCGCCTGGTTCCGGCACAAGAGTTCTGACCTACGTCCCAATGGAACCTTCCACAGGGTGCTGCTGTTGTCGGAACATATTTTGCCTAACTGTTTTGCCTAACATATATTGCTTCGCTCGTTTCTGCTCGAATTGGAGTGCAAAACAATGATCTAGTGAATGCCAATTGAAGACACTATATTGGTGTATGGGGTGCAAGCCAAGACGTGTTTGCAAGCCAACAGTGTGCCCAGTGTCTCCATCAACCACCCAAGCAGAAGCTGGTTTGCATAGTGACATAGTGCCAAAGAATACAACATGCACTTTGCAAATCATACCGGAAAAGAAGCGTGGGACTTAACCAACTTGACAGCTTTCTACAACTATCAAAGACCAGCTTGTCGCTACAGACCTTGAGCCTCCACAGCACTTGCCTGTCCCCTGCCTGAATTTCTCGCAGCACTTCCGGCATGCGCCAAAAACATATTTAGATGTGCTATCCACCAAATGCGGGTGTTAGCTATGCCTACAGTTCTCTGGTCTCTGGTGCTGCCGCCACGATCTTGCTGAAAGCATCCGGGCGGTGGAAATGCGACCGCACCTCTCAAGCCCTTTTGGCTTTCCTGACTATCATCATCATCATCATCATCATCATCATCATCATCATCATCATCATCACCATCTTCATGACTTTGTACGGAGATCTGATGTATTCCGATAGTGCAGAAACAGACTCGGCTAATTTCTTAACATTCACTACTGGAAGAAAATGTTACTGTAAAAAGGTTAGCGTCCACATCCACTTCAGCATCACTGGTTGTCGGCTGATTGGATCTCGGCGGCCCCTATCTGATGTGTTGTTTTCTTCAGGTCTCAGTCCACCAACCCACTAGCCCTTGGCTTCAACCTCAAAGCCACCCGCAGGCTCAGGATCAGAACCTCAACGCACGAGATCTCGCGCACGGGTGCGAAAAGAGTTCGCTGCAAGTGAGAGAAGCAGGTCATTGCCTGGGTCGTCTGATGCGTAAGGAAGAATGGTTGACCCACTAGATCTCCGAAGAACATATCATTCTATTCTTTTGTTGGTCTGGTTACATGCTCCAGACTTTATGTTGCTTTGAAGATCCTTCCTCATGGAACACAGGCCGACTGATCTGCTCTTACAGTTACAACTGCAGGGCCTGGGCCAGTAGTGAACTGTTCACCTGCAGAGGTTGTGAGAGGGTCGCTACCTGGAGATCTGGAGATAGGAAGCTAGGGCTGCATGAGTGGTGTCCAGCAACAGGGACTGTGCGAACACATCCGCAGGTGTACACCACATAGCGTAGGTTTGACAGCCAAGGATGTCCCACAGGTGCCAGAGCGTCCGCCAAGCTGTCTTCACTTATCAGTGTGCAATGTTTGTGGGCCCAAGACACGTAGTTGGCAGCACTCATCAAATGTGGGAGGTTCATCCACGTGCAAATTGGGACAACAGGTTTCACATGGTTTCACTCTGTTTCCCTGAAAGGCACCGAACAAAGATCAAAGCTCCAATTAGGACTCCACAAGTGTTGGAATCTTTGGAATCAAACAACAAAGAAGCCAATCGCCCCAGGAGAAAATCAGGGTCTCCAGCCTCCAGCCTTTCAAGCAGTTGCCAGAGAGATATGAGCCAAATGGACCTGGCGTCCCGCGTCGGACAGGCCGATGAAGGAAGGAACGGTAGTTGCTCTCGATGAGGGCAGAGGACCAGGTTGGAGATAGCTCAAGTAGACTTGAGATCTTAGAGATGTGTCATTCTCCTCAATCTGAGGTTCCAGGATCCACATACCTCCTGGGGTGTTGAGGGGCATCAATCTGGCATCCGAATAATGAGGTACTAGCTGGTCACGTCCTGGTCTGACCCCCGTCCTCACGGACCAGCGTCCTGACCAGCTGGCCCGGGAAAAAAGCCTTAGCTTGCGGCACAAAGCTGATCCCCGCAGCTCATCTTGAAGGGCTCTTTGGGCAGTGCCATGAGCTTCTCCTAGGCCAGCCATGTGGAGAAAATGCCCCAAACCGGCGCATGCAACCGACAAGTCCTTTCACGAAAGGAAACCCCGGTGGATTGGATATGATTGGATGACAACGCAGTTGATGTGGTTTCTGTTGCAGTACGTCGAACTTTTGTTGGCTGGAAATTCAGGGTAGAGCTTGGGTGCCTTCCATCTTAGAGATGAGAGCTCCATTACTCTGTTGCCTTCAATTCAATGAAGTTTGATGGCCAGGTTCTGTTCATCTGCGGTCCCCTTCATTAACGAGAGGCTTGAGAGACTCCTTACCTGACAACCCGTTCATTTGTCGAGCTGCAAAGGAGTCATCGGTGGCAAAAATGAAGGCGAGGACGCGATTCACGTAAGTCACCTCGTTCTCGTGCTCACAAGGCAGGCTCATGCCAATCAGCCATGAGTCATGAGAGCCGATTCGATTCCAAGCATATTATACTCTGCAGCCCATGAAATCATTCTGGCTACTAGTGGATCTTCTCATACAAATGTTTACAGTACTACGGAAAAAAAAGACATGAACATATAAAAATATGTGTCATTATATACATAATAGGATTAAGTGTTGCTTCATTGATCTTGGTGGGCTAGTCCATCCATCCTCATGGGAGAAAACATCGTTCTATCCATCCCTTGGATCTTCAGGATGCGCCACGAAACTTCTCAACATGTCTTCATGTCTTCTCAGTCTTCTCAATGATGCTGTCCATCTGGCCTTCAATGGTTGCAGAACGGCGGGATGGGTCTTTTCTTCCGAACTTCCGAACGAGGTCAAGACCTCTCAACGCCCGGAGCTCCCGCTCCCCAAGGTTCCGTTGCATCGGCACCGACCTCCACGCCGCACTGGGGGTGCGACGGACTCCGCTTGCTCTCCAGGCTTCACCATGCGAATGGCGGCCTGGCAGAGGTCAGAAGTGGAACGGATCAAGAGTGGAACGTCGGTTTCTTCGGTAACTGTCAAGACTGTTGCCAGAATGGAAAAGGAGCATGACGTAAACGTGGATTCGTGGAACAAACCAGAAACTGGAACAAACCAGAAACTAGGCCTTCCTTCTTCCCAGCGGCCCCGGAAGTTCTTGCACACGAAAACCACACTGCACAGATCCCGAAACCTGCAAGTCATCCTTCGTGACATCTCCGTACCTTGCGTCGAAATTCATCGTCCGCAGGTTTCGCTCCAAGCGAAATTCATCTTCAAATCAGCACGAAGAGAACAAAAACGTCGCGATTTCGCGATCCGAAACTCTCCCGTTGGCAGACCAAGTCTGGGATTCGGTCGAGCTCCAAAACGTCGTTGTTTTGGAGCCTTCCGGCCGGTCCGCCCCATTCGGGGGTGAGTGCGGGTCCCCGTGCGACGGTCCATCAGCCCAGGGGCACCAGTAGACACACTTCTCATCTGGTCCGGTGATCGGATCATCGCTCTTGTCCTGCCAGGGGACATAGACCGAACTGGAAAGTCCCATCCCCACCCGAACTCCCAAGCTTTTCGCTGAAAACACATGAAGAACATGATTCTCAAACGGTTTTCATTATATAGGTACCCCAGTTGGACCCAATTACCATTAATTACCGACTTCTGTCAAAGTACCGTAGCACCAACCTGAGCCGTCTTCTTGTTTGACCTCCACATCCACATCGCACGCACAACACCTCCGCTGGGTGCCCCTTACGGTGCCCTTGGCGAGTTGCACCAAGACCTCCTGCCACGTGCGGAAGAGCGAGCGTGCGCGCACCCGCAAGGTCGTCCACGGCGACGAAAGGTGTGCTGAAGGAAACGGGGAGCATCTTCAGGTCTGAGGAGGATGCGAAGCAAAGGGGCAGGGGGCTGAGCAACGCGAGATCACGAGGGCCTTCGTTTGGGCTGTCCCTTGCCTTCAAGACAAGCATAAGAGCCAAGACAAATACACTCCGAGGTCAATTCGGACCAAATGATCCACGGGGCCACCATCCACGAATCCACGATGATTTTAGGGAGTGAGTGTAGACTGTAGACCACATTTTTTGACGAATTCAGCAAAATTGATGTAGACCACTCCAAGGCCTCCAACTGCTGTGGAGTGGTGAAGAACTCCTTGGCACGAGGATGTGCGTACCTGGACGGCGGGCCCACGCGCCTCCTTCGCTGCGACCCGCAGCTGCAGGAGTCCACGGGCACCGGAACCCCCCATGAGCCCAGCAGTTCACTCAGTACGGCGTTCGCTCTGTGAACTGATATGAACTGATGGTGATACAACATGATACAACGGGGGGATCGAATGATTGTCTGCGCAAGAAAAGATCCTGCCTTCATAATCACATCATAATGTCAGAATGATATTTCAATGTATAATATATAAACCAAATTAAACCAATATATATATATAGGGTTTTTATATATACTGATATATCACGGAATGCTAAAACGAAAAGCTGGCATCAAATCTGTTGTTTGTTTATGTTGCTTTGGAAGCTTTGCGCATCTGACCTGGAAAACCTCAAATTCCTCCTCGGACTCCCAGCTCTTTCTCTTTTCCTTCATGGGTGTGGCAACCCAATGTCTTGCACTGGAAAAGAGGTCACCACCCAATGGGTACAGATCTACCCTCGATCGAACTTTGGAGGACACGTTTACCTTGTAGTTCGATCTGCGTGACTTCACCGTGAGATGCCACGTCTGTGGAGCTCCAAAAACCTCGTGGTGCCTCGAGCTCCATCGGGGCACTGGCTCCAGTGCTCAACAATCTGCTTCCTCAGCGATGCGGAGAGCAGGACGGCCAACCGCGGAGAGCAGGACGGCCAACCGCGCATGGGACGGATGATTGGCCTCGGATTTGACAGAGACGGATGTTTACAGACACGGATTTTCCCATGAACGGGTCTTTGAGAGTACCTCTCCTGAAAAATCTGCCGATGCCAGCAGAGTGAGGTGGTAGTTCTCCAACAAAGGACCCGGCTGTTGTAATCTTCCTCGAACCATTGAAAGTCCATGAACACACCCACACACCCACAACCGTTCAAAAAAAGACGCTCGCCGGGACATCTTCTTCGCCAGGCTTCACTTCTTCCTCGCTACGCACATTGAACGCGTTGAGGTCTCGCTTGGAGACAGACTTCCGCTTGCCTTGTTCCGCGCGGTCGCCAGGTGGGGACGGGACGTCAGGGATGACGTCGGGGATGATCCATGAGGCGTCGGCCTGGGCCCATGTGAAAGTTGGCCGGAAGCAGATGGCCTGAGATCGGCCATCTGCTTCCGGAATGGCCATGGGAATGGCAAAGCGCTCCCCCAAAATTCCCCGAAGTCCAAGTCTCTCATCTCAGCCTGCTCATGAATCAACAAATGCGGTCAAATGAGGATATTAAGTCGATGGAACAAAAAACCTCATGAGGCCGTAAAAAGGAAGATTAATAAAAGGACCCTGGGTGTGACGATTCACCACCTTGTTAGCAGTCCCTGAATAGGTAGAACATGTAGATATAGACATGTGTTCCAAGACATGTTTCAAGTGGATCGATGTTCATGATGTTCCATTTTGGGGGGCATCTCTCTCCCAACGTGTTGCATCTCTCTCCCCCAACCCGCCGATGCTCGGCCGCGGTGGTCACTGAATGACAAAGGTGGTCACTGAATTTTCTAGATTCCCTTTTCTGGAGGCACAAGGAGAGGAATGACACATCCACAGCACCCAGAACTATTTTCTCGGGTTCCCAGCTCTCTCCCTTTTTCTTCTTCTTCTCCTGAGATGAGGCTTCATGGCTTCATATTGCTGTGCTGGAAGGCTTCAGCTGATGTTTCTGTAGCATGGAATTGGAGACAATCCTCCATTCATACATGCACCATCATGCAGCAGTCTATTTGTGGACGTCTAGACAACACATTATCTTTTCCGTTTATGCCACGCGAATTGAGTGCCATGAATCGAAGAATCAATTGACACGTTTATCGGGGCACTTTGGGTGGCATATCACCGGTTCAGCAAGCAAGCCCATCACCCCAGGGCGCGCAGGATTGTTCCTTAAAGCCTCCCCTCTCCAGTTCCACACACTGCTGCTCCGCCTCATCTTTCTTGCTGCCTCCGCCTGCAAAGGCACCTAAAGAGCAGTCTGATCTGCAATCAAAAGCAGGGGATGCAACTAAAAAACTCCTCCTGTGTCTAGGAAAAACATGGAAAAACACGTCCAAACCCTAAATGTGCCCACCGAGTCGTTTTGTCGGCAAGGCACTGAAGGGATTCTCCGAACACATCCGGCACTGGAACATGGCTCAAAGGGGAGGCGTGGAAAATCCACCTCAGGAACCACGGTCTTCTACGGAGCACTAGAGCCAAAATTCTCGCGAGTCAGCTTCCGTGCGTCCCATGGCGAAGCAGACCAAATGAAGGCGAATCGGAAGTTTCAGGAAGTCCCCCCAAAAAGGAATCATCGAGACTTCCTCAAAAGTAGAACTCAATCTTCAGTAAATCATGCTGCCATGCACTTAAATGAGGATCGGCAATTCCACGAGCACCAGCCTCGTTCGGCAGGGATGCTGGAGCTGCTGTTCCATGTCGACCGCGGCTTCCTGCCCCACGTCAACAGGGTGCCGCACAATTCCAAAGGATCTTTCGGAGGATTCCTTCTAAGATTTTTTGTGATCTTTTCTGCAGGCTAGGGGCCGCTAGGGGAGGAGGTATCTATGATTCCCTAAGAACCCACCCAGAACATTGCCTCACTTCACTTGGGTCATCATCCCTTGTAGCTTCCTGAGTCCCTTTTTCCAAGGTCGTTGGCAAGTCCGGGCGACAAAAACAAGCTGTTCGGCGGGTCGAAACGAGGAAGCCCAAATTCTCAGGTGTTCAGTTAGGTCATTGAACATCGACCCCTCTTGGCCCAAGTGGGGGTCGGCACGTGGCCCCAAAGAAGACTAACATTGAGGGCGTGTTTTGAAATAGTAGTAGCAAGAAGCTAGTAGGTTGGAGGCCATCGCTATTGGGTCGAGGCCATCGCTATTAGGTTGGAGGCCATTACTACTAGTAGCAAGAAGCTAGGGTGGCTCCGTGTGGCGACCCAAAGAATTCTGTCTGTCAAAAGCTCTCTTGGTCAAGGACGACGACAGTTGGGAGGCACAAACGCAACGAACAGCGAAAAGGAGATGTTCCCCAAACCCATCCAAACCCCACGGCTGCATGGGATTCTGGGCCAAAGCAAAGAACACCTGGAACAAGCCGCCAGTGTTGCGCAGCATTTTGCCAAACTGATCCTCACTACCTGCCGAGAAGAACTTCCACAGAGACTTAAGCCCTGGTGGCAGTCCATCTGCTACTCTGCTGCCAGATCTGCCAGGGCAGCAACCCCTCGCTATCAACTCCACCATCACCCAGCTCTGCAGACCCGGCTCGCTTCGCCGGTGCCCGGTCCCGTGACGTCGCATGGTGCCCGGTCTGTCGCATGGGACCACTCCTTGGCGCATGGATTCTGCCCGTGCTTCGCGGCCCAGAAGCAGGTCATCTAGCCTCGGGGCACGCGCGAGCCGTGTGGAAAGCGACGGACCTTGACAGACTCACCCCAGGAGCCGAAAGCGGTGGTTGCTTGGCTTTTTGCCAAAAGGACACTTCAAGAACTTGAATCATTGTAGCATGCCAAGACATTACAGCATATAATTGGCATATACCGTATAAAAAAGAACACTCACTCACGCGTCTTGATCGTTAATCAAAATTCTGGAGTCTCCAGGTGTTGCAATCAGAGCCTGTTTCCGTAATTGCAGGGTCTTTTTCTTCACGTGTTTTTTTTTAAATATGGGTTCGAGAATTGGCGGAATACTTTTGATCAGGGATGATCAGGGTAATGCTATTTTCTATGCTTCCAGGACTGAAACCAGCTTCCAGCTATCTGATGGAAAAATGCAAATAAAAAGGGGCCATGTTCATACATCAGATGTTCATACAATAATCACAGCTATCTGATGTTCCAGCTATCACATGTTCATGTTCCATGTTCCATGATTTCATAATATGATGTCCATGTCAGCAGGGACTGTGCTCGGCTTCCTGCTCAACAGCTGCGCAGGTGCGGAGGCCAAGTGAACAATACGATTCAATGCAATGCCGGCACCAGTGAGCTGTATTTTTCCGCGGCTTAGCAAAGCTGGTAAGTAAAGGTTCTCTATGCTCTCTTTGGCAGAGGGATCTACTGTGCAATTAGTTCAGAAATGTTCAAAGTTTGTTGGAACCTGTTCTGTAGCAAGCCAACAGCTACAGGCAGCTGGCCAAGCAAAAACTGGCTGCCAGGCTGCCAAAAGCCCGGAACTCGGAATCGGAATCCTATATCTCCTCGACTGGAAGATGACGTCGTCTCGTTGTGTCTCATTCCTTTTGTGAATATGGGATAATATGGGTATAGTATAGCTCCAAAAGACTATACACTCCCTGGAACTAACATGGAAGTGGAAAACACCCTGTTTGTAGAGGAAGATGGTCTTCCAAGGGGCCATGTTCCACTTCCATGTTATATAGTTCATATAAACCATCCATGACCTTCCAAAAACCCTTCTCCCTTCGGTCTCGCAGGTCGAACATGTCTTCTCTGGGAGCGGAGCCGCTGTTCCAAGGCACCCGCCACCTGGGGATCGACCGGATGGATCGGGTCCGCAAACGAACCCACTCAGCTCCTTAGTGATATAGATCCACTCAGGATTCATTGATTACTCAGTAATCCACTCAGGCGAACCCACTCAGCTCCTTCATTGATTCAGCCCCTTCTATTCTCCAGTACTTGGAGCCGGGCCGAGGACCGAAACGTCAAGACGAAAAGGACCGAACCGAACCGAGGGCGGGCGAACAGTGTCGACTGCTTTTCCTTCCGGACTGACTCTGTTTGATCTTGTGGCACAGTTTTTTCTGAAAGCAGCACACTTATCCACATGAATTCTGCGACCACTTCGTATCTGGCTATCAAGAAGGCCTTACATAAGGTGGTGAGGATTCCAAAGCTGCTTCAATCAGTGTCTGCAAGGAATGTCCCCAAATCCTGGGTCGCGCAAAGCTTCCTGCTCATTTGCTGGCAAAGCAGCGCGATATCTGGAATGCGCATTCAATTCTTCAGAACATGTTGACTCTCTAACATGCTGCATGGTGTGCTGCTATCCGTTGCGTCGGGGAAACATGGTCAGACTCTCCCGCTCAGCCCATGTCTTCAGCCCAGTGGACCACCCTGGTGACCAGGAGAAGTCTCCGTCACGTCTCAGTAGGTTCAGCTGGGTTTCATGGGGAAGATCACCCCTGTGTTTCGCTCCAAGGAGTTGATGCTCGGTGTGTTTTCTCCACCGGACGGCTCAGCTCCGGCGGAGCTGACCTGGGCACCCGACCTTTCGGTGCTTTCCAGTGGTGGCCTGGCACGGCACTGGAACGAGAGGTGACCCTGGCACTGATGGGAGTGCCCCCAAGCAGGTCCAAGTCCATGGCTCATGGATGTTCATGGCCGCGGCGGTTCAAGAGGACTTGGTATTCTCGTATCGATCAGCCCCAACTTAAGAACTATGATCAGCCCCAACTGTTATCTGGCGTCTTGGAGTTGTGGGACGAAAGAATGCTTTGTTTGTTCCACATTACTCCAGGAGTTGCACCGAGCCAGAACTTGAGAGCGATTACAGTATATATTATAATAGTATGTCAACTGTGAGGTGTAAAAGCTGGCGTCATGTTTCAAGCCATGACCATGACTATGAGAATATAAAGAAAACTCAGATTGTCACAGCTCTGTTTGCTATAGTTTTCCGCTGGTCTCCTCTAGTCAGCAGGACTTATGCACCCAGATGACCCGATGCAGTGTCCAGACCCCCCCTTCTAAACCATCACTGTCCAAACTAAAGTCCATTACCACGCAAACCCAGTGTAGCCGGAGGCCGCCGCAGGGCAGAGTCTGCAGGAACAGTAGTTGCTCGTATGGGAGGGAAACCCCTCCCCAATTTGCAGAAAAGGGTTGGAACCAGCAGACAAGGGCGACAAGGGTCACTGGGCCCCCCCAAGCACGACCAGTTCGTGCGCGCCGCGCGCGCCCGCCCACGCCGCGCCGTGCGCCTGCAGCATGCCGCGTGCCGCACGAGCGGTCGAGACGCTGCCCTGACGCCTCTGGGGCGAAGCGATATGCTGCGTCCGATCGCTCCGGACCCGTAGCGATGCCAGGAGCCCCTAGTAGCGCCCTTGCTCCTAGTAGTAAGGCCAGGAGCCCCTAGTAGCGCCCTAGTAGTCCTAGTCTGAAAAATCTTCTGTGGAATAGTGACCTGGCATGTCAAAATCTTGGAGCAGACTTGGTGCATTTCATGCAGACTTCCGGTCAGACTTCCGACCTTTCGTCGCCGGTCTCCCCAAAAAGCATGAAAGACCGTCGTGGCGCCCTTCGACCATCCTGCGACGTGGTCCAAAGGGGGCCAACTTGGATCCTATAGGTCTGACCAACTTGAATGAATCAAAAGGTCCGAGCAACTGATTTGAATGAATCAAAACAATCCTCATTGAATGTAGACTTTGGATGAATCAAACCATTTTTGCATGTAAAGAGGCTTTACAATCCATGTATGGGGCCGTCTATGCTGGGAGGCTCCCCCTCTCTTCCCCCACTGCGTGGTGCTCGCGCAGGACCCGCACCACAGCAGCAAGACCGCGGAGACGCCCAGAGTGGCGCGCCAGGTGGGGCCTCAGCCCGAAGATTCGCTACGAACGGGGCTCCTGGCCTACGAACGGAGCGATCGGAGCGAACGGGACGACCCTGGCATCGCTACTAAGAACCATGTTCGCTACTAGGAACTTACCCAAGTCCACGGTGGCTGCGGTTGTTGTAGCGTCGAGTACAGCACATTCGCTCTCCAAAAAGTACAGCGGTGGCAGCATGAAACAGCGCAGACAGCGCAGGCAGCAGCGCAGACATGCGTTCCAAACCCAGAGGGTCGCTATACCAGCCAGCTTGCTGCGCAGAAGGAGGATCTCACCTCTTGCACAAGACCCAGCTGTCTCCCGGTTCCATGTCATGGAAGAGCTCAGAGTGCCCAGAAATGAGTTAGAGAACCACCTCAGCTTAGACTGCTGGCACTGCTGGTTCTTGTTGTTCTCTTTCCTTGCGTGGCAGCTGTCATTGTTTGAGTGGCTCAGCATGACATCTGTTTGTGGCCCGTTTCAGGCAGTGCTGCCAGTCGCAGGTTTTGCGCTGCAGTGCCACTCCGACCCTTCCCCCGTTGGGAAACTCAAAGGGTGAAACGTTGAAACGAGCCCCGAAAAGTGGTGATCTGTGTTGCTGGTTGGTCGTTTAAACCAACCCCCCCTGGAGGTTCCGATTTTTATATATTACTATCTGCGACAGTGGCTCAAAGAATGCGGCTCTCAGAAAACCATGGTTCTTCCTGATGTTCTCAATCTCACATCTCCAGTATGTTCGTTCACCGCACAAGTCTCATCGCTTCCCTAATGCATTGGGAAGCTACATTTAGCACATATATGCTCCAACCGGCCCTCGCCCCAATGCCTACAGAGGCATCCTAGCTTCCTCCACGTAATACTATATCATTATATTATGGCTTTCAATGGCGTAGGCGTAACCATACATTGTCGTTGGACACCCCCCACTCAGCTGCCCAGCTCCTTGCCACGCGCGGGAAGATGGTGAGATGCGACAGAACCGAGATCGCCCTGGCCGGAACCAAGGGACGGACACCCTGCTTGTTGATCGGAGACGGGTCAAAAATGGTCAAAACAACATCAGGGACTTCAAAAAAAACACGAAACCGGGGGCATGTTTGCCTAGGTATATAGGTTCATCACGGATTTGTCAAAGACTTTGGACCCAAACCACGCTCGTGTAAATTCGCTCTTCGACTCTCCTCAAGGAGTCAGGAGTAAAGTACTCACCCCACCCAGTCGACCAAAAGGATTGAAGACCCGTTCTTCCAACCCCCTGCATGCAAAGACCTTCATTGGGGTCGCAACTGGCGCCACCTCGGCAGGTTCTTCTGCATCTCACTGACCCAAAGCATGGCCTCGGAGCTGCAAATCCCTTCTCCTATGAAGGGCATGGCGGTGTGACCCATTTCAGTCGATGGACATCCGAAATCAACCACCTTAGGATTCACACACCTTCGCAGCGGCCCTACAATCCTACAAATCACTCCATGGCCAATCTGGGGGTTCACCACCTTCAAAGAACAGAACCCAAAATGAAGGGCGAGTCACAGATGTGAGTTGGAGATGATGTGAGTAGCAGGCGCTCCGGGACACATGGTAAAGATTGGTAAAGAAAAGATATTCTCTATCTTAATGGCTGAACTGAGTGGGAACATCGGAGTGCAGAATCCAGCATGAGGTGTACACCGGGAAGATTAACATGGAACCTGAAAATGAACCTTTGGAAGACGATTCTCCTCTATGACCCCATCGTTTTCAGGTCCAATATGGAACCTTCCAGGGCGTAAGCTGAGTGTGTCACACTGTGGCGACGCCCAACAAATCACAGGAATGCTTCAAACCGCACCAGGCCCGGCCCACAGGCACCACCAGCCTCCCAGGGGAGACCACCAGCCTTTATTGAAACACTGAAGTGGTATGTGTCACAGCTTGAGACCTTGCAAGGGAGAAAAAAACATACAAGCTCGTTTGGGTTTGGTGAATGTGATACACCCAGTACACTAAAAAGGCTAGAGTCTCTCCATTCCTTTCTGCGTCTAACATCTTCTAACCACCTTTGGTTGAAAAAGCATTCGTATCGTGAAAACAGGCCCAAACCTCCGGGAGCACACCTTCTTTGTCTCAAAACAGGCGTTTGCGGCCGCTGATGTGCTCGATGCTGCCGCGCAGGCCCTGCCGCACAATCTGGATGCGCTCCTTGCCGGCCAGTTCAGTGCTTTCCTGTTCCCAAGACCTCCCAGCCGCTTCTCCCAAGCGCGATGGCCGAAAGCTTGGGATCTGAGCCAGTCCTGAAGAGGTATACCAAATGACCGTTTCATTTGGTCACGTGTCATTGCAAGAATTCTTGAAGTGCTGCTTTTCTGCCTCTGAAGCAAGTAATTCATTGTTCCCATAAAAGGGACCCTCCCCATTAAAAAATCCAATGCAGAACCTCCTAGATGTGATGCAGTTTTATTTATGCAGCTGTTTTGTTATTGTTTATTTGCCGCTTTGATTTCTGCATTTTTTTGAGATAATTCTTCGATAAGTAAACGTCTCAGGCCTGTTTTTGTTCTATATCCTTGTCTTGGTTTGGGTTTTTTTTGAGAAGCATCAGTTGTTTTAAAGGATATGTGGAAACAAAACGGGTTGAGGATTCTTGAAACCTTAGCATAGCTTGAGTAGGAATCAGATTCCCCAAACACGTTGCTCGCAACAAAAGGGGGTTGTTACATTTTCTTGCCGTTTCCGGTAAGTCAACTGTCCTTTTACCTTATACATATATATGCAAATCATATTAGATCATATTAGTATCTGGCTGTGGGTCATGGCACCAGGATACCGACCAGGCACGACCTACACAAACAAATCGTCGTTCCCTACCGACCAGTGGACTGATCGGGTTCCAGGTTTTGACCCATAGAAATTACGACACATCCATTGGATTTCCACGGCCTCCACGCTCCGATTCATCGGGTCCTTCACGCTTGGCGCCTCCAGCACGGCCGGACGGATCTCCAGGGCGACACCTGAGACAAAACCTCTGCAGCCATGGTCCATTGGTATATGGACAAATGGAACATATAGGCATGGTATGGACGTTGGTATGGTCTGCACATTCTGTCCAATGTTTCTCTTGCATCTCTGCTACAATGTTCCATTGCTCAAACCATTTGCAGGTTGTTTTCCAGAACACCCGCGTGGTTTTGGTCACCGTTTCCCGGTTTGAATGGACATTCAAAAGAATGTGTTTTTTTTGATGCGTTTTTGTTTTGGCCCAAAAAACCGTGCCAGTTCTGAGTGAACAAAATCCCAGTTCGATAGTTAACACATGATAGCACCGTTTACATCACCCCGTCATCCACACAACAGGCATGCACAAGCCCCCTGACTTGGTCAAGGAGTGGCGCGCAGTGCCCACACATGGGAGTTTCGTTTCGGAGTGCTACAAAAGCTGGATGCCTCGCAGATCCGTGAAAAAATACATTATATAATACGAGCTCCTCAAGTCCTCGATTTGGGTGAACGACTTGAAATTGTGTTGCCATGGGTGGTTTTCGATGAAAGCAGCTGCCCCAAGGACTGACCCACCCTGAGCGGTCGATTCGCTCCGCTTCACTTTTGCTCTGAGGCTCCCAGTGCAGGCAACGGATTCACCAAGGCAGCTGCCCAGAAGGCTAAACGGTTTGCATCGATGGTGGAAGGCATCTCACCCAAGTCCTGGATTGAATCGAGTGGAAGGGAGGAAGGTGCTCCTGGTATACATCCATTTCTAACTAACTCTAACTCTCATCGTGTGAGAATCTACTCGGATCCGAGACGTGAGTGGAGATGGAGATTCCAAAAAAGAATGCCGGACAGGAGCCGAGTCGTCACATCAACCTCAGAATTCATTACTGGGTGAATCACACCAACTGATCACACTATGTTTCTTTTCCTAGTTGATGCTTGGGATGTCGTCGAAGTGAACAGCTAGAAAAGGCAACCGTTTTTCCAGCGCGTGTCAAGTTTCACCCTCATAGGAGGTGCTCCGAAGACCCTGCCCACCTAGCGGGGCTCTTGGTTTTCAACTTAGTCCAGCCATCTGTCTCTTGTCGTGAGACCCTAAATCCAAGAAGCAACGATGAGTGAGTCAGTGCTGCACATTGAACAGAAAACATGACCAGTTGCTCTTGAGCTTGAGCCAGCCATGTCAAGCAAATATATAAAGAAATCTGGGTTTACCCCTGCGTAACCTACATGAGTGCGAGTAAGCTCAGAGCAACCCTGACCTCCTAAGCCGTAACCCTCCAAACCGTATAGATCCGTATAGTAATACGAGATTTCATGGATACCATTATTCGATACAGAATCTGTGCCCAACTGCTGACCTTACAACCGGACCCAAAAAGACCTTTTGCGAAGTGTCTGGAAGCGCCGATCCAAAAGGGTGGAAAATGGTGGTAAAAGCAGCAGCTTGGCAACAAGGGAATTTCACTGACCTCGTCTCCGACTTCGTCGTCTCCTTCAGGATGTCCTTCAGCTGGCCTTCATATCTCTCGGCCTCGAAACAGACGGCAAACATGTCTCAATGCTGCACAGGCCAAGGCCGGCTTTTTCTTTCATCTTTTGCCTGGAACGTGGTGGATCTGGTTTCCTGGATCTGGCGCAATTCAGGACTAGAAACGGAACCAAAGCAATATTGCCATCGCTTCCAAAATCCAAAATTCTGAGAGTGTCTGCTCATCCAATCGTCTGCCCGTCTTTCTCGGCGCCGGCGCCTTGTGCTCGAGCAGTGCTTGTTGCCACTCGTCCACCAGCACGGGAATGGCTTCAGCTAGTTGAATATCATCCTGGCCACCCAGCACGTGTCTCTCATGAAAGTGACATGGTATGGTATATATATTTTTTCGTCGACACTACAGGAAACCCTCCGCTGTAGCAATTAGTGAGTGAGACTGGTCTAGTTGGAGATGCACAGTACCTAATTGTCAATCCACTTCCAAAATCCTCACGACCACATGCTCTTTCCGGACCCATTCGCAAAGAACATCACCAAAGAACAGACGATCGAAGAATTGCTACCGACTTCACGCCATGTTTCGCGGTGTTCGCCTCAAAAAGGCCGTCGACACAAAGCCTACACCTTCACAGCTACGTCGGCTACGTGCTGTGAATGACGTCTTCAGAAGCATCTTCGCGAAGAATTCGCTGCTGAAAGGATGTTAGAATATGTTATATAGTAATATATATTGCAAATATAATTACACATGTTTTTCGATCAAGACTTGTTTGCAGTCGGTTTCAGAGCTGCTTTGCTTTGAGAAACCATCATCGGTACCAGCACGTTTCATTGACGGGAACCGCTCCTCCGAAACCGGCTCGTCCAAGAACTCCACCTTTGCGTGCAGTGTCTTAGAGCCGGTCTTTTCCGGTAACGCCATCGACCGGTTTAGGTCTGAGATGGTCTGAGATCTGAGAATCAAACATCGCTTTTGGGGGGGCACTCGAAGATCATCTAAGTCATCTTGGAGATGGCACAAGTAGTTGGAGTTAGAACACGGAGATCTTATGCACTTTTCTTTCTGCCAAGGAATGGTTTTGCTGGCATCATTGGCACTCTATTTTGAGCCAAAGCCAGATATGAGTGAGGGCAAACGTCCAAAGTCCCTTGGTTGAACGCTACACCTCTTGTCCCACGGTAGTAGTATCTATCTATCTATCTGTCTGTCTGTCTGTCTGTCTATCTATCTATCTAACTAATTATCTATCTATAGTAGTTGCAACAATTGAAAAGCACGAAGCAGATCTGAACCAGCTGACCGGGTGAAAGGGTCTGTTCCAGGTGTATGGACTCTCAAGCGAGGGAACTCCTCTCCAGACCGCCAAACAACAGAGCCAAACCTCACGTCGAAAGATTTGGCTGAATGCCCAGTCAACCATTCCCCCCCGGTGTCTCTCCCATTTGCTGCCACCACTGTTCACCACGAAAAGAGAAGACGAGATCTCGGTTCGACCTTCGGCTGTCTTCTTCGGTTCGGCCGAACCGTTCGACCTTCCATTCTCGCCGGTTTCTCTGTGTCCACCGTCCACACCTTGGCTCTGGTGATCTTGCCCTCCAGCTCCTTCGCTCAAGACCGCCACGCGTGACGAGAGATGAGCAGGAGAAGTTCAACACCTGGGGTTCACGGACCCTCCTGGGAGTATGAGGGCAACCCAAACTGGAGGGCAGAAAACCCCCAGGAAAACGCTTCGCCCACTCACCCAGCTGAATTCCTACACATGTGCAAAACACACAACTTTCTGTCGTGCATTCCATGAAAGTTTCACCAAGATTTCGTCCAGTTCTTCTCAAAATCAAGTCCCCAAATCGATCCGAGACCTTGAAGAGCAACTG